CTACTACTACTACTACTAACACTACTACTACTAATACTACTACTACTACTACTACTACTACTACTACTACTAACACTACTACTACTAATACTACTACTACTACTACTACTACTACTACTGCTACTACTAGCCCCCCCCCCCCTACCAACCACTTGCTCTATCCGGGCTGGGCAGCGGCAGCTTCTAGGCTCCCTGACTGCAACCGCTGCAGAAGATGCAGGGGCTCAGGCTCCCTATCTGTGACAGCTGCAGAAGTTGCAGAGGCTCATTTTCCTTAACTGTCACAGCCGGTGAAGTTGCAGAGGCTCAGGCCCCAAAAATGCGACAGCAGCTGGAGTTGCGAATTGACGGGGAAGAAACGGCTAAACAACAGGTGGTGCATACTGTGCAAAACGCAGGTGCTGCCAAGAAGGTGTTAACACTCCCAAAACCTGAAGCGCAACATCTTATAAACATCAAAGACAAAAGCCAGCTGCACGTGGGAGGGGTTGCCAACACCCTTAAAGCCCAGACCTCGGCGTAGGAGGGTTTGCTAGTGGTGCGTGGTGTGTGCACGCTAGGGTGTGGAGATATTGTTCGGGGTGTCCGCGAAACAGTGTCGTGATCATCCCCGAAATCCCCCGCCGAAAGCCCTCCGAAATCCCAAGGTCGAGCTCGCAAAATCCAGAAGTAGGTTTGGCGAGTATATACGATGGTCCGACATGACGAAAGTACCATAAATGCCGAGCAAAACGGCTCTTCTGGAGATTTTGTTCGGGGTGTCTGCGTAACAGTCTCGTCATCATCATGCCCCCCTCCCCCCACCTCCCCCACGAAAAGCATGTCCAAATCCGAAGCTCGAGATTGCAAACTCGACACATCGATTTTGAGGCTTCACAAGATGATCCTACATGACGAATGTGCTTTAAATACCGAGCAAAATGGATGTTGTCTTAACATGGTTCAGACCAAGTCTAGTTGGTAGGGGGGGTGCCTACCACAACCGCCACCACGACGACGACGACGACGACGACGACGACTACTACTACTACTACTACTACTACTATTACTACTACTAATCAGTAGTTACTGCTACTACTGGTACGAAAACTATCACACTGCTACTGCTTCTGCGTCTGCTACTCCCACCACTACCGGTACGGCATGTGCTTCGATTCTTCTGATTTGCGTAGCTCTCTCAGCCCAGACACTCAGCGACGGTGCCCGGGAGCTCCGGCCACAGGTCGTCGTACATCTGGGCCTGGGGTCATGGTTTTAGGGTTTTAGGGTTTTAGGGTTTAGGGTTTTAGGGCTTTAGGGTTTTCAGGGCTTTAGGGTTTAGGGTTTAGGGTTCCCAGGGGTCAAGGCTCATGGGAATTCAGGGGTGGGGTGAGGGTTTCGACTCGCACATTCGCACGAAGCAGGCACGGATTCCAGCAACAAGTCGCTCAAAAAGGGTTTCCGGTTTCCGCGCTCACACTCTGACCATCCAGGCGAGGCATGTGGCTTTTAGGGTTTTTTTCAGGGTACAGGGCTGGTGGGGTTTGGGCTTACTTGTATGGGCCTTGGCATTGTGCAACCTGCCTTTAGGAGGGCTCTGGTAAGTTTAGTTGTCTGCAGGGCTGCAATGGATTTTCCCACTCCATGAGCACGAATACCAAAACGGAATGTAGCATGGAAACTATTGTAGTTCGAATTTTCCTATACTGCTACAATACAACGTGTAAGGACATGACAACTGCATACAACTTCTCTGGCTTCAGGTCCCTTCTCATTCTCTGCTCTTCAAAAGGGAAGTCCTACTTCGTTCGCAATGTTATCCCCCTCTCCTCTTTCATGTCATGCTGAGAAAACTGGTGCAGGCTCCCATGGTTTCTGGAGTATCGCACCAGCCATATCAGACAAGAAACTGGAATTTAGAGTAGTTTCCAATGTCCTTTCCATTGTTACAACGGAGAAGATTGCTTTGTTTCGCAGCAAGACTTGTGCAATCGCCTGAAGGTCTGAACACATGGAGGTCCAGAATGCCCTAAACCCCAAAGCTTCGTAATGCAAAGGAGGATGGGAAGCACCGTGACTTCCCATTTGTGGTCCATGACCACATTAATGGGAAAAAGAACAAAAAACCACTGGCAGTTTCCTATAATGAGCATGGCTGCACCGGAAAGGCACCGTTTCTCACACTGGCGTCAAGATTCTTAGTAATTACTGTGGTTCCCCACTCCACTGCCATGAGATGGCAAAGAGCATGCTCAAAAGGTTGGGATGACCCCGAGCCCCAGTCAAAACAAAGGGAAACGACAGGAGTGTTCTTTCGTCTTCTGCGTTGTCACAACGAAGTCAAGTGGGAAGGTGCAGTAGTCTTCATTTTCCAAGAACAGGTGAAAATCAAAACAGAAGTTCAGTAGATGCCTGACAAGGAGTGGCATATAAGGCTTTTTGACCAAGGCTCATATGGGACTTTCCGAAAATTAGGGGTACCTTATTTTGGGGTCCTTATAATAAGGATCCTACTATTTAGGGTACTATACTAGGGTCCCCTATTTTCGGAAACCCCCATATAGCGACAAACTGTAACTATGAGAAATACAGCTAGTTATTGTGAAATACGGCTAGTTACTGTGGCTGCACTGGGAGCATCAGGGAGCCATCTTTGGCCAAAGTGGGCACCTTCACAGCCTTGATCTCTGCAGCGAGCTTCGCAGCCTTGCGTGCGCACCACCAAGCCACCCCGACCTGCGCCAAACGGTTGGAAATCCTTATGACTTATGATAACCCTCGCATACCCCTCTGGGACAAGACTGTGGAAGCCCTAAACCCTAAACCCTAAACCCTAAACCCCTAAAAAGAGCCTAGGGCCGCCGCTTGGCCTGCACAGCCACAAAGAGGGACACGGCGCTGACAATCATTACCGGCCAAGGCCAAAGCTCACAGCCGTGGTCATACCTTGGCCATTGATCTTCCAACGTCTTACGGCGGCTTTATGGTCTCTGGTGATGGGTAGGTTGTTTCTGCTTGGCTTGAGGATGCTTGAGGTGTCCGTGATGCTCAGTGGTAACTAACTAAAAGATTGCAATCCAGATGGACCGAGATGCAACATGAACGGAAAAGCACACGAGTCACGACACTCAAAGGAATATGTCCCAAAGGAACAGTCTTTGCAACTGCCCCGATCTGGCGTGGGAACGGCTCCCTTTGGGCATTCCCGACACTGGGACTCGCCGGCCACTGCGTACTGTCCCTTTGGGCAGGAGGTGCAAACACCGGAAAGGGGTCTGAATCCGGTAGGACACGGCGGGCGGGCGAAATCCTCTGCAACCTGCAACAGCTCGTTGGTGCTGGTTGACTCAGCACTGTCCATCGCCTGCCAGAAGAAGGAATGGGTCGCACCTGTGCGTTGCGCATGTGACGATCCTGAGTGCCAGCCCTGCACATCACTCACACGGTTGAACGAAAGGGCAAACTGAAACATGAAGCTTGCATCCGTCAACGCCGACATGTTCCATGCGTTGAGGGGCTGGTCGAAAGCAGAAGCAGCATAGAACATGTAGCTTGCATCCGCTACAGCCGACATATCCCAGGAGCCAAGCGGCTGGTTGAATTCGGATGCATGACGAAACATGGCATGCATGTTGGTTACTGCTGCAGTGTTCCACGAACCGATAGGCTGGTTGAATGTGTGAGCACCGTCAAACATGCTCGTCATGTCTGTCACCGACATAGTTTTCCAAGAGGGGAGCGGCTGATTGAACGAAGAAGCTTCATAAAACATGTGGCTGAGGTCTGTAACAGCGGAGGTATCCCATCCCCCAATGGGCTGATTGAAGGCGAAAGCTCTCTCAAACATGCCGCTCATATCTGTCACCTCGGCAGTATCCCAGGTAGTAAGAGACTGGTTGAACGCATGAGCTCCCGAAAACATTCCGTGCATGTCAGCTACGCCAGATGTGTCCCAGCAGCCTACCCAGTGATCAAACGCGAATGCCTTCTGGAACATGAAGCTCATATCTGTCACCGCTGATGTGTTCCACGACGCGAGCGATTGATTGAAGGTAACTGCGCCGGCAAACATCCCTCTCATGCTTGACACAGCTGATGTATCCCAGGAATCAAGAGGCTGGTTGAAGGCATAGGCCTTCCGGAACATCGAGCTCGTATCCACCACCGAAGATGTAATCCATGCAGCGAGGGGGTGATTAAATACTACCGCCGCGTAGAACATGCTGTTCATCTTGACAACGGCTGATGTGCTCCAAGAGCCAATAGCCTGGTCAAAAGCAGGCGCGTCACGAAACATGAAAGCCATGTCCGAGACGGCCGAGGTGTTCCAGGACCCGATGGGCTGGTTAAATACCGCAGCATGCGTGAACATGCCGTTCATGTTCGTTACTGCTGAGGTGTCCCAGTCACCGATGGGCTGATTGAAGGCGCGAGCACCATAGAACATCCGATTCATGTCCGTAACTGCTGACGTGTTCCAGGAAGAGATAGGCTGGTTGAACACATAAGCATTCTCAAACATTCCGGCCATGTCTGTCACCAGAGATGTATCCCATGACCCAACTGGCTGATTGAAGTCGAGTGCTCTTTCAAACATTGCCCTCATAAACATCACAGCAGACACATTCCAGGCGGCGAGGGGTTGATTGAAGCGACTCGCTCGGCAGAAAGTGCCGCGCATGTCTGTGACTCCTGACACATCCCATGAGCCAACAGGTTGATTGAAAGCTTTTGCAGCATAGAACATCCGGTTCAAGTTGGTCACCGATGATGTGTCCCATGAACCGACCGGCTGGTTAAAAGTATAAGCCTGAAGGAACATCCTGCCCATGTCCGTGGCTGCAGACGTGTCCCACGATCCAACAGGCTGGTCAAACTTGTAGGCATCCTCGAACATGTGACTCATATTCGTAACTGCTGCCGTATTCCACGAACC